GGTAAGGGGATCTTAACCCTTGACTTGGTGTTGTCAGCACCACGCTCAGCCAGTGAGCAAACCGGCCATCCCTATATGGGATCCGAACCCGTGGCCTTGGTGTTATCAGCACCACACTCTACCGAGTGAGCCACGGGCCGGCCCAATATAAAACTTTATTAATGAAATTTCTTTACATTCTCTTTTCTTATGAGCTCTTGGAAATCTAGTGTGCATTTTACGCTGACAGTGTGTGGCAATTTGAGTCAGCCACATTTCAAGTGCTCCACAACCCTCTGTGGCTAGCGGCACGCACTGCAAAGCAGGGTCGAGACCCCAAGTGACACCGCATCTTGACCCTCCCTTTCTGGCCCTGTGGCCACCACTCTGCCTGCCCTCACCAGGTCTCACTTGGGTGCTTACAAGCCTTTCCCCATTCTCAACCATTTGTCCTATTTATGCTGCCAGGGAACTCGTTCTCAAATGAACTCCGACTTTGCTACTTCCCAACTCAAAAATCTTCAATGGCTCCCACTTCCTATGCAAAATCCATATTCCTCAAGGTGGACTCTATGATCTAGTCCTAACTCACATTTTCAATCCTATCCCTTATAGCTCTTCACATTCCTGCAAGACTCCTCTTCGATTTCTCCCAAATTCTCAATTCCTTTGCTCACCCACATCCTTCCATCTCAATGCTCCACCCCCTCAGCTCCAGTTGCTCAAAGGCAAGTCTTCCTCCAAGCTCACCAGGCAGCTCATTTCCTGCCTCTCTCAAAGACCCACATGTCAGCTCATGTCGACTGCCTGCTCCACATGGCATGGAGCATAGCCTGCTTGTGTCTCATGCTTAATGGCTGTCAGTTTGGAGCTAAAAAAAAAAATTCACCTAAACTGAACTCATCATTCCCCCAAAAATGTTGGGAAAAATGTAGCTTTAGCCTACCTTGAAGATCTCACAACAGTTTAACGAATAATTCACAAGAACTAAGAACTAAGCAACAAAGAAACAAATGAGTAAATGTGATCAGTGCCTTCAAAGAGTTCAGTATGATGGGGTGAATTGACAGTGACACAACATTTCTAATTTTTTGTTTTGTAATCTTTCAGATTCTGCTCACTCTGTTTATTTCCAATATAGAAACAAATTATCCAACTTAACTTGGGCTGTACAAATGGGAAAAAAAACCAGTGTTTACAAGAGGTGAGGCCTGGCCTGCATAAGCAGCAGGGCAAGGTCATTCAGTGGTTCTTTGGGCAACACACTGCCTGGCACTTCCTGTCCTTCCACCCCACCACGCTGATGCTCTAGGTTCAGTGTGGGGACCCCACCACCTTGACTCTCACTACCGTGATGATCTCCAAAAATAAACTCTGCTGCAACAGTTCTCCTACTTTCATAATTATATTTTTATATGTTACTGTGTATATTTTTATTGCCTATAATTTTTTTTTGTATTGATACCTTTTGTCAGCATACAAGCTAAAACATACGCGGTAAGGTGATAAACAGAGAGGACTGTGCACTTTCTCTGGCAGACAGGGAAAAAATTTTTGATGGACTCCAAAATTTTAAGGCTAATCTACATCAGGAAGGAAACAATGTTAATAAAGAATTTTTTTTTTTTCTTTTTGTCTTTTTTCGTGACCGGCAACGGATCGCAACCCTCAGTGTCACGCCCGTACCGGACCGGGACCGGCAACAGGATCGCAACCCTCGGTGTTGCGCCCGCACCTCACTCAGCCAGTGAGCGGCCGGTCTGTATGTGGGATCCGAACCCTCGGCGGGAGCGCCGCCGCGCTCCCAAGCGGCGCGCTGTAGCAGTGCGCCACCGGGCCGGCCCCGTTAATAAAGAATTTAAATGAATTTAACGTTTTGTATAGAAATGCATAAAACTAAACACCAAAACATTAGAACAGGAAATTACCTGCTGCTTTGCTCTCTTCTTTGGGAGAAACAACCTGTTACAAAAGAAAATACACAAATGTTAACTGAGATCTTGAATGTGGTGAGGAAAAAAGTGGATTATCCAGGCACTCACAGAATTACAGTGACAGCACATATTCTCAGACAAAAATGATCTCTGGCCTGAACACCTACCAGATTATCATTTCTGCTCCCTTCCTCTTTCTTCTTTCCAAATCAGACAGAATGAGGAATCTTCCTAAAAATTAAAACTAGGTTTCCTGAAAACTAGGTTTCAGGCCCTCTACCGTGCTTTCCCACACTTGATCCTCGGGTTTGCTGATCTGTGTTTAGCCACATGTCTTCCTTTGGGGACTGTGTAACAACAAATGGCTTCCTCTATGGGGAACATAGCTTTGTGCTCCTACTGCTAGAAACTTTTACAAGTACCCGGTGCCATTTATATAACTGAGCACTCATGAAGAGAATGGAAGAGATAACTACTCTAGCAGTCAGCATACAGGAGTCTGGGCCATGTCGGGTGGAGGAAAAAGCCTACCCTTCAGGGTCAGGCAGCTGTAAGTAACCAGCAGCCACCATGACAACGCTAGCACGTATTAACCACGCAGGTGTAAATCAACAGGTTTCAGAGCTCTGTCAGAGATGACATAGGCAGTGAGGGCTGGAGCAGGAGGAAGATAGAGCCCTCCTGGTTCTCAGAGGCAGCTTCTCCTCTGAGCACATTTGTTTTCAGGCTCCCCACCAACGTGCAGTCAGACTATGAGGGGAGGTCAAACATTATGTAAATCAAACAGAAGAGAAGGGCCGGCCCGGTGGCGCACTGGAGAGTGCGCCGCTTGGGAGCACGGCGGCGCTCCCACCCAGGGAGGTCAAACATTATGTAAATCAAACAGAAGAGAAGGGCCGGCCCGGTGGCGCACTGGTGAGTGCGCCGCTTGGGAACGCAGCGGCGCTCCCGCCCAGGGTTCGGATCCCATGTGGAGACCGGTTCCCGCTCACTGGCTGAGCGTGGTGCGGGCACGACACTGAGGGTTGTGATCCCATTGCCAGTCAGTAAAAAAAACAAAAAGAAAAAAAACAAAAAAAAAAAACAGAAGAGAAGCTTCTCTGACTGCAATGGGGTGGGGCTGCCAGCAGCTCCACTCACAGGCATTCCTTTCCCCACCGCTGCACCTCATTAGATCCCTGGGCTCTAAGAAGAACATCAAGGCTCTAAGACCATTACAAGAAAGTATATTTTGCAGAACCAAATAGGCTCTCAGTATTCAGTTGTGACAATTCTCCAGTGTATTGTTTTGGACTTATGCTTTAACCTGGTGATAAGATTTCAGCATCTCACACATCATGACATGGCAGGGCAGAAAGAAACCCCTGTGCTGAGAAGCAGATGACCTGGACTTCAGCCCCAGCTCTGCCATTAACTGCCTGTTCAAGCTGGGGCAAGTCAGTTTCCTCTGATACAAAATAAGGGGTTTGGATTAAATGACCCATGAAGTCTCTGCCTATTTTAAAACACTATAATTAAATCAACATTTGAACATGTGTACCTGTCATTTACAAAGGTCCATGCCATTTGAACCAACTTTTGAATTTTGTTTTTATCACCTAGAAATGGGGAGAAAAGGTAAATTAATAGTAATAGGAGGAAAAAAAAATTCACAAGAAGCAACAAGCATTTATTTAAAACCTACTGTGTGCTCGGCACCATTCCAGTACACAGTAAAGAGCTTTCATCTGGGAAACGAGGACAAACGACATGGGTCTACGTCCTACCTCTGTTCTTTTTCCACATGACCTACACTGAACCACCATTTATAGGAAACCTGGCTCGAAGGCTAATTTTATTATTCTATTTAAAAAAATTCTGACTCATTTTGCTGCCTCATATCACTTGGCAACTGGATGACAGAACCTGTTTATGCATAAAAAGAAACAGCATTAATGGCTATGATACTGAATTGTGTAAGCAAGCTATGTTCTGGTACTTCACACACCAAACTTTCTGTTTTCCTGTTCTGAGAAGCCTAATCTGAGTATTATCAAATACTCAGACTTGATTTCAGGATGAAAAAGTTCTTTTAAAACTTTTTTTTCTTACCTTTGAGTTGTTTTGCATATTTGAGTAGAAATTGATATGGATGTTCCACCTGTAAATCAAATTTTATGGTCTGTAGTAAGATTCTCTCCAGAACCATTACTTCTTCCTAAAAACAAAATAACAAATATTGGGATAGTAATTACAATCATGGTTCTCAAACAACGTTAAAAATGTGAGCTTTCCTATCTATTAATTTTCTTTTCAAGCCATACTTATGCAACTGTTTTTCGTTCCTTTTCTCCTCTCTCCCACTCGGCCTTTTAACATGCTCAGAGACAAGGATAAGTTCTATAAAGAACTCAAAGTAGGAAGATGAAACAATCAGATGGTTAATTAAAAAAATGCTGAAAACAAAATAAATATCCTTATTAGAAATATCATTACTTTCAATACATACATGAAAGGCCCCTTTACAAAACAGACTTTACTATACAGATAATTTACTGAATTGCAGTTTGTTTCAAAACTTCCATTAAAAAATATAATCCCTTAGGAATTTTCATTGAAAACTTTAAGCAAGAAAGAGATTATGATAGCTCGCTTCACATAAACTCAGACAGTAAGTTGTATCAGCAGTGTGTATGTGTATGTGTGTGTGTGTGTATGCAAGTATACAGAAAATATTTTGAAAAGTATGCGAGAAAATGGAATTAAAAGATATGAATAATACGAATTACTTTTTGAAGTACCCTGTACACACACCCACACCCACACCCACACACAGTGTATATGTGTGAATGAGGGCACATGATGTTTGTGTTTAAATCTTTCATTTATCTGAAATATGTCCCAATGTCATTTACTGAAAAGTTATCATTTCCTCTTTCATTTAAAATGCTACCTAAATCGTATCTTAAACTATGCATGTACGTATGCACTCATAAATACACACACAAAATCTTTTCTGTTCACAGATCTGTTTGTCTACTTCTGTACCAGGATCAAAGGGACTTGGAAAGGATACTTTCACTACATTACTATTCTTTTTCAAAAAGTTTCTTGTTTTTATATGTCTCCCCCACTGCCCCCCAATTTAGCATCATTTACTTAGTGTCATTCCAGAAAAAATAAAAGCCACTGATAATTCTGATTGGGAACTCACTGAATTTACAGAGCAATAAGGGAAAGCAAAGATTTTTTTAACTATCTTGAATCTTTCTATCAAAAATTCATTAAGAACTTTTCAGTCCTTTAATAGTTTTAAAGTCCTCACCATTCTCCGCATGGTTTCTACAAGGTCTAATCCTGGATATTTTATTTTTACTGTTGCTATTGTAAATGGAATCTCCTCTTTTATTACACTCTTAACTAGTAAATGTCCCTAAACGGGTACTTCTCAAATTCAACCATGGTAGAGCCTGACTGTACCTAGCACTTAAAGACAGTGTAAAACACAATTAAGACACTATGTAGGAAGAACAATTAGAGAGAATTATGTTATTTGTTTGGCATCAGAGAAGAAAGGACTTTGTAGAGGATTGAAAACCTCATCATTAACAGTGGCATAAGCCTATTAACTGCGGGAAGAGCAGACATTTAGGTAAGTTGCTTTCATTTTAAAATACAGCATTATTCCTAAGAATACACAGAGGATTCTATAATGACTTATTATTCCAAATGGCATGGCAAGACTAAGGTTTTCTACCCTAGTTTCCCAAGCATTTTCACGAAAGCTTTTCAAAATCTCAGAAGAAACTTTCACATGGTATTAAAACTTTTATTTTTTTTTTTAGAGGATTCTATAATGACTTATTATTCCAAATGGCATGGCAAGACTAAGGTTTTCTACCCTAGTTTCCCAAGCATTTTCATGAAAGCTTTTCAAAATCTCAGAAGAAACTTTCACATGGTATTAAAACTTTTATTTTTTTTTTAAAAACTGTTATTGTCACCACCTGTTTCCCAGAAGCTTCATTTCCTCTAAATCTAGAAACAATCTTTTTCTAAGTGTGCCAATCAGCTTCCAGGCTAGAGCCCATATAGTATTACAAGATAGCCCAAGGCCTGCCCACCCTTTGTGTTTCAAATATTCAACTAATAGGGTAATTACAGGTCTTTGAGCCAACATCATTCCTCAGGGAAGTTTTCCCTCAGCCCCATACTTGTCTGGAGAACTTGTCTGGAGGACTTGTCTGGGTCCCTGTGTGGGAATGCTCTCATAGCACCTGTAAATCATCTTTTATAGCATTTACCACAGCTCACAATCAGATAGTTATTTATATGATAATTTGGTTAAAATCTATCCTGCCACTCAACTCTAAAATCCATGAGAGCAAAGACCATGTCTGGCCTGCCAAGCGTTTTATGTCTAATGTCTAGCACAGTGGCTGGAACAAATATTTACTGAATACATGAGATATTATTATTACGAGGGAAAACTACACAGTTAAAGCAAAGGTAATTAAGGCAAAAAAAAGTTCCACGCGATTCACAATCTTATTTTTTCTCAATACTTGTAGTGCCTTCCCCCAAATAACTGCCCTCTTCTCTGCCAAGGATAATGTCTTCCTCAACGTCATTACTGCTCCCAGATTTAAGGCGTTTTCCTTTGGCTCCTACTCCCCAAGTCATGTCTGGGGAGACTTCACATGAGAGAGGGGAAGCTGGCAGGTTGTAGAACCCCCTTGCCCACTCAGGTCTCATTAGTATGGCCAGTCCCTTTTTCCTATTTTCTGGGGCACTGGAGCTGTGAAACTTCTACTTCACTGTGCCTGGACTGGGTCTTGGTTTCCTGATTTGGGGATAGAGTGGGTAAAGGCTGAAAGTATAGGGGGACTTATGCAAGGCGCCTAGGACAGCACACACCAGCTGCCACGCATCCTCATCTGGTAGTGGCTCCAGATCAGCATGCCTTATCCTTAACCACATGCTCATCAGCCACTGTGACCAAGACATGACTGAAGCAAAATATGTCCTCATGACTGGACTAATCACATCAGAAACATAGTACCTCACAGTAAAAATCAAATACCCTGGGCATCAAAAATATTATCTGATGGCTACTGCTTTATAAAACTGCATTTCTGATTAGGGTTAATATGAATTCCTCATAGGTTCAAACTTTTGTAAGTAGGTTAACAGATTCATAATGAAGTTCGAGGGACAGAATAAACCACATTGACAATATTTACAAAGTATTAGTATCAATCACAACCACATTAAGTACAGAAGTATTTTGGGCCCCTGGAAACTCCTCATAGCAATGAGGAAAATGTCTATACATTACACACACACACACACACACTGCTTGGCAGAGAGAAGGGTGAGACAAGGAACAAGCTAGTTAGGAAAAACAAGACCAAGAATGCTGCTGAACTTCATTGCCTTTGAGCTTTCTTCCATAACAGTAGTTTGTCATTTATTCAACAAGTATCTGTTGAACGTCTACTCTGTCCTGCCACTGTACTAGGCACTCGACAAAACAGACATTATGAAGGATAATTAACAAGTGCTGTAAGGGTGACAATAGGGAGACCTTGACAAGAACGGGGGTGGAGGAAAACTGCCATTGGTCCCTGAAAGTGGTATTCTCAGAACATAAAAAAGCAAATGTACAATAATTTTAGCACTATTTGCTGACGTTGAAGGGATTGTGGGGAAGGAAAAGGATGGATGGTATGACCAGCATTAATCTCTGGGTACCTGAAAATGCTGCAAATGCTGATACCTTACAACATTCTAGGGAGCAGAAGACACACAGCAGATGTAGGCACATGTACATGTACATATACCATGTGTACTTCTGTCTGACCCAGAAGCTAGCTGGAAATGTGGCCCTGCCATCACTGTTGAACCTACACAGTGGAGTGCTAATGGCATTGAGAGGATTTCTGCTCTTATCTGTGAAATGTGCTATTGTCTCTAAAGTGCTCCAAAAACTGCTGGGCACATTAGGGAGTGCTACATACGTACAGCCTGCGTCATCTTCTCTCCTCTTACAAAAGCAAGGAGAACCTTCTACATAAAGCCATCTTAGGAACTCAAAGGACCGGCAGATACAAGGGCCACAGCCATTGTCAACACAAGAAACCATACCATAGTGCTACCATGAGGAATCACAATTTGAAGGCAGCAAGTGATGGCTCTTACCTTTGGGTCATCTCCAAACTGGCCAAATTGTACATCATTTAATAAACTACGAGCTGTTTTGATGATATCCTGCTACCATGAGGAATCACAATTTGAAGGCAGCAAGTGATGGCTCTTACCTTTGGATCATCTCCAAACTGGCCAAATTGTACATCATTTAATAAACTACGAGCTGTTTTGATGATATCTTTACATTTTTTTGGTGTTTCTTCTACTTTCCCAGCCAGAAAGAGGCAACAAGCTCCTGTCACCTAAAAGGGAGACAAAAACTCTTATTTTTGGTATTAAAGATCACACAAATGGGCTGGCTGATTAGTTCAGTTGGTTAGAGCATGGTGCTGGTAACACCAAATTCAAGATTTGATGCTTGTACTGGCCAGCAGCCAAAATAAAAAACAAAAAAAAGCTCACACAGAAACAGGTGCAAGGATGTTTGGCCTTCACAGTAAACTGGTCCCTCTCATTCTCCTACCTTCCTCTTTCTTATTCATAAATACTGATACTCTAAAAGCCCCCAAAAATTTTTACACACATACCCTTGCCCTTCAATTTTGCCTAATAAACTTAAAATTTAATTTTCTTAAGAAAATGCCATGTAAACAAAGAAAATATCCCAAAGTTAAAAAGTCACAGAAATGAATTTTCTTTTTATATTTCAGTCAGAAAGATAGTAACTCTGAACAATGAGTTGAGAGTTTGCTATGGAAAAAGAAAGAGCACAGCTGACTGTATGTCCTGTGGAATCCATCTCTACACCACTGCCCACACTTTCTTTCCTTTCTGCTAAGGTTTGAATGTTTGTGTGCTCCCCAAATTCATATGTTGAAACCTGATCTCCACTGTGGTGGTATTAAGAGGTGGGGCCTTTGGGAGGTGATCCCCTCACAAATAAGATTACTGCCCTTATAAAAGAGGCCTGAGGGAGCGTGTTCCTCTCTTCTGTCATGTGAGGATAGAGCAAGAAGGCTTCCTCTATGAGAAACAGGCCCTTACCAGGCACCGAATCTGCTGGCACCTTGATCTTGGACTTCCCAGCCTCCAGAACTGTGCGAAATAAGTTTCTGTTGTTTATACAATTACCTGGTCTAAGGAATTTGTTACAGCAGTTTGAATGGACTCAGACACTGTCCCTCCATTTGCCTTAACCCTAGTTTAGTCCCTGTTATTAATGGGGTCCGCACTGCTCTATCTTCAGCTTCTCTTTGCCACTCTAATCCCTCCTACATGCCATTCTCCTCACATAATCCTGACCACATGACTGTCAGACACTCTGGCAGGGGTACAAATTCTGATTCTGTCATGATCGTCTTTTTTAAGAACTTCACAAACTAGTGAGGAAGACATGCATACAAACCTAAGTAAAATCTTAGCATTTAATCACTTCATTGTTTACCTACCAAAGTTGAGTTTCCCTACTCTGACATTCAAGGTTCACCATGGTCTGACCCATTCTATCTTTCCATCCAGGGTCCTACCATTCCCTTATTGTCAAACGGTGCTCCTGGTGGGGCTGGCAATGTGTGGTGTGCTTCCCTGCCTCTGCTTCTGCTGGACTACTGCCCCAGCCCATCTCAGCATGCCTATGCCCTATGTACATGCAAGCATACTGCTGGCATCTCCTTCCTAGCATTTTCCCTGACTGCTCCAAGATGTCATTAATCTCCCCCTTAAAGGACTCAGCTCTCCATCTGTACCTCTCCTACGGCCTCACTTTTCATCATGAGTTCTGTATATGTCACACCACCTATCCTGAACTAAAAGCTATTGGAGGCAGGTTCCCTGTCTGGATCTCCCACCGAGAATAAGACATAGTGCAGGTTCAAGGAATAGCTGAAAAATGAGTGATATGGCATAGATATTGGCTTCCATTTGGTTTCATTTGGCTTTCCTGATCTTTGTTGGTTCTCAATTATAAGTCCAAATTTATCATGGGGAAAGGTAAAAAGGAAGTAAACTTTTACATACAGAGCAATATGACTATGGTATATATTCACCTAAATAAAAACAGATTTGAACATGGTAATTAAGAAATTAAGAAAAAACAAAGTTCAAACTTGATTGTGTTTATATATAGTATGTAGCATATAGAAATACCTTCTAGAAAATATGATAAAAAGAGAAACTACAATCAGTCCACCAAACTGTATGGAAATAATAAAATGTAATAGAGAGTTACAATAAAAGCCAAATACTTACATATCTTGGGAATTGCTTGAAGGAATGAAACATATAGAAGCGATGAAAATAAATTATTCCAGTTGCCAGGGTATCATAGTGTCTGTTGTTCTGGTTAAGGACTTTAGCCAATAACATTTATAGGTTATGTTCTTAGTTAAATGCATAAAAATAATAAAGAGAAGCAAAAACAAAATAGTGGTAAAGTAGGCAGTATCAATGGCAAAGAAGGCAGATGAGACCATCTTACGGTGTCAGAATTCTGGTACAAGAATAAGCAAGCTGAAGTTTTATGCTTTTAACAAGGCTCGGCTTTACCATTCTTTAGAAACACTTCAGTGGCAAAGAAGGCAGATGAGACCATCTTACGGTGTCAGAATTCTGGTACAAGAATTAGCAAGCTGAAGTTTTATGCTTTTAACAAGGCTCGGCTTTACCATTCTTTAGAAACACTTCAACTGTCATCTCAATTTATTTTCCTGCTGGCTGGCAACTTGCTCAGTGGCTAAGTCTACACATTTAAATAATAAACCAGAAACAGAAAAACCCCTGAAGAGCCAGGCAAATCAGAAACATTTAAACAACAAAGATATTTAAGAACTGTTCTGGCACACAGAAATTCTGTATATTTTGTCTATAATGTTTAATTTAATTCTTGCTGGTGGTGGGACAGCCTATTACAGATTCCAAGGAGAGTTAGGATACAGTCCCAAACGTGTGCCCACATCAAAGATGAACCTAGCCCCCTCTCGGCGGTACCGGGCCTCAGTAGCTGGATCAAGTCCTTCGAGTTGTGAGGGTGTATGAGCCAAGTCTTTCTTATCCCAGTACCAACATGGTTTTGTGTGGTCCAGATTTGCTGAAGTTACTGAAGGGCTTGAATTTTCTTTATTCTCCTTCATTTATTGAAGTAGACTTGTTCTTTCCAAAAGGTTCTCTGAAAATGTTTGAGTCCTACAAGAAAGAGGAAAAAAAGCAAATTTGGAAAGGGATACCCCACACTATAAGCCATCCTAAATAATAAACAATCTACAATCACAGATTGTACCTGATTTGGGATCAAATTTTCCCATAGAAACTATGCTACTGACTGCCAGTTAGAAGCCCAGGCTAACCCCCAGAGCCAATTTAACACATATTGTAAGTGACCCCAGTACAAATAAACCCCAAATTTCATGGTAGTTTAAAAGGAAGAGCATTTCCTCTCCCTCTTTTGGCCGTAAAGGGGGCTGCCTGGTTAGCTCACTTGGTTAGAGTATGGTGCTGATAACACCAAGGTCAAGGGTTCAGATCCCCTTATCGGTCAGCTGCCAAAAACAAAAAAATGGTATTGAGTCTAAAGGGTTAAATCTAGGCAAAATTTTGGAAGAAACTGAGTTCATCTCACTTCCCTTCTTCATCAGAACACAGTTCTCTAATGCTGGTCTAGATTTCATTCTTCGGTAAAGCCTGGGCCTGTCTTAATCCCCTATAAAGATTTATGATCCAAAATTATCTGTCACTTCCATCTAGCACCAAATCAAATGTTCCCTTTTTTAGTTTACTTGATTTCACTTACTTAGGCACTTTCACTTAGAAAAGCCATGGGGTTAGATTAATTCACATCTGCACAAACCACTGAGCTGAACAATATAAATCAGGTATGGGTGCAGTGATCTGGGGGAATAGGTGGAAGGAGGTGGTCCATAAAGGAAGGAGCCCCTTTAAATTGTTCTTCCTTTCTCATCCTCTTCCCTTTCTTTCATTCAGAATAAAGAGATTCTCTAAACACTCCATGTTGAGAGAAGAAAAGAAAACAAGGATCTCATCCACAGGCTATTGTAATTTGTAAGTCATTCAAAAACTGGATCAGAGACAGTAAAAATGTTCAACAGGGTGGCAAAAGAGTTCCAAAGGAGGTGGCTGGAGCCAGGTTAGTCTGGTTAGCAAGAAAATAGCAGTTGTGCAGTCAGGCTCTGGGCCAGGGCCCCTGTCAGTTCATCTGGAAGCCTAACATTTTCTGCGTACCTGCCTCATTTCTGGTGGGAAATGTGAAACGGCAGGGCCGAGTAATTCTCCTCCTCCTTGCACCTGGTAGCTCTAATAGGAATCTGAACTTTAATCCAACAGGAAGAATTAAGTACGTGGAGAAAAGCAATCTGCTTAAACTAATAATTTACATTTTTGTGTGTAACTGATTAAATTAGGTAATGTTGGGGGATAGTGGTGGGGGAAGGAGAGACTAGTTATCTAAAGCCTCAGAAAATATGAGTTCCTAATCAGATATCATACTGAGATACCTATATTTCTCACCTACAGGATTGGCAAAAATCCTAAAGTTTGACAATTTACTCTGTTGGCAAGGCCAGGGAGAAGGAGGTGATTTCATATATTGCTAGTGGGAGTACAAAATAGTACAACTGTCACAAAGGGGAAGTTGGCAATATCTAAAAAATTACACATGCATTTTTCTCTGACCCAGCAATCTCACTGCTAGGAATCTACTCTGAAAATACTGCCAAATATGAAAGAACATATACTCAAGATTATTAACGGCAATGTTATTTATAACGGCAAAAACTGTAAACAACCTAAATGTCCATGAACAGGGTATTGGTTGAGTAAAATATGGTACATGAACCCAACTGGTGCCAATCATCCCGAAAGACACAATCTCAAATGCCATAATCCTGAATGATCAAAACCACTAAAGTCTAAAATCCCTAACATCTAAAATCCCGAAAATCACAATCCTGAAAGATTAAAATCCCGAATTTTAAATATGAAATATGAATATATTCTGAGGAAAGCCATGCCCTAAAAGAAAAAAAGCAGCTATTATCTAAAATCCCGAAAATCACAATCCTGAAAGATTAAAATCCCGAATTTGAAATATGAAATATGAATAT